TAGCAACGACAGCGAAAAAAGACGCAACAGAAGGAAATATGAAACAACTATATGATACGACGAAGAAACTGGCAGGAAAATATAGTGAACCAGAGAGACCGGTCAAAGATAAAAAACGCAAGCCCATCACTGAAATTCAAGGATAGGGAGACAGATGGGTAGAATACTTCGAGGAACTCCTGAATAGGCCGGCTCCAACGAATCCACCGGACATCGAAGCAGCACACATAGATCTTCCTATAGATGTCAACCCACCAACGACGGAGGAAATTAGAATGGCCGTCAGACAAATCAAGAACAGGAAAGCAGCAGGACCCGACAACATACCAGCTGAAGCACTGAAATCAGACATCGAAGCAACCACAAGCATGCTTTATCTTCTATTCAAAAAGATTTGGGAGGAGGAACAAGTGCCGATGGACTGGAAAGGACACCTCGCCAAGATTCCAAAGAAAGGAAATCTGAGCAAATGTGAAAACTACAGAGGCATAACACTACTGTCAATACCAGGGAGTCTTCAACAGAGTGTTGCTGAACCGGATGAAAAACGCAGTAGACGCCCTACTTCGAGATCAACAAGCTGGATTCCGTAAGGATCGGTCGTGCACAGATCGAATTGCGAGACTACGGATCATCGTCGAACAATCAATTGAGTGGAACTCGTCACTGTACATCAACTTAATTGATTATGAAAAGGCGTTTGACAGTGTAGATAGGAAGATGTTATGGAAACTTCTTCGACACTACGGAGTTCCTGAGAAGATTGTCAACATTATCCGGAACTCATACGACGGACTACAGTGAAAAGTAGTGCATGGAGGACAACTGACAGATGCATCCCAAGTAAGGACCAGAGTTAGACAAGGCTGTCTACTCTCTCTCTTCCTCTTTCTTCTGGTGGTCGACTGAATTATGAAGACCTCGACATCTGAGGGAAAACACGGAATACAATGGACAGCTCAGAATCAATTAGACGATTTGGACTTCGCAGATGACCTAGCCCTCCTATCGCATACACGCGAACAAATGCAGATGAAGACAGCCAGTGTAGCAGCAGTCTCTGCATCAGTAGGCCTCAGCATACACAAGGGGAAAACCAAGGTCCGCAAATTCAAAGTGGAGAACAGCAATCCAATCACTCTTGATGGCGAAACTCTGGAAGATGTAGAGTCCTTCACATACCTGGGAAGCATCATAGATGAACAAGGAGGTTCAGATGTAGACGTAAAGGTGAGGATTGGCAAAACAAGGGTCGCATTCCTACAATTGAAGAACATATGGAATTCAAAACAACTTTCAACCAATATCAAAGTCACAATCTTCAATACGAACGTCAAGACAGTTCTACTGCACGGAGCTGAAACTTGGAGAACTACAACAATTATCATCAAATATGTAGAAGTATTTGTAAATAGTTGTCTACACAAGATACTCAACATCCATTGGCCGGATACCATCAGCAACAGCCTTCTGTGGGAGAGAACAAACCAGCGTCCAGCTGAAGAGGAAATTCGGAAAAGACGATGGAAATGGATAGGACACACATTACGGAAATCACCAAACTGCATCACGAGGCAAGCCCTGACTTGGAATCCTGAAGGGAAACGGAAAAGAGGAAGGTCAAAGGACACATTACGTCGGGAAATAGCAGATATGAAAAGGATGAATAACAACTAGAAAGGATTTCCAAGGACAGAGTTGGATGGAGAATGCTGGTGAGCGGCCTATGCTCCCTCACGAGGAGTAACAGGTGCAAGTATTTACTTGATAAAGTTTTAGATGCTGATAACACATCGATAACATTAGTACACGTAATACTATTCCTACTTTGTTCACCTGTAACTTGACAAACTCACTGAAAGCATGAAATACGATATTTCAAGTCATGTTTACTTGCTAAAACAGCTTTCTATAACGAGCATACATCATCTACCTACGTGACTTTTGTATAGGACCGACCCACAAATAATAGACTGGAAACAACCTAGTTTTTGCACCATTTCTTTTAACATGAAAATCTAACGGCATAAATATCTAAATAAAATTACATAAGAACTATTAAACACAAGTATTCTTTGTATTTAATTATTCATTTTTTGTATAATACATATATGATTTATTTTACAAATTGCTTCTTTTGTAAATGAACATAATAATTCATGGTTTAGTATTATATATCTATTTACTTAGTTTGGAAGATAATATACTAATCTTAATGAATTACATCTATATTTTAAACTTTATAACGGATTGAAAATCAACCTAATACGATGAAAAACTATAGGTTAACTAATTAAATAGATCAATAATTGAAAACCCATTGAAACTATTACAAAACAAAAACTAGAGAAAAAAAATCAATTCGAAAAATATTTTTATTGCACTTTTTTTCTCATAAAATTTTTTGTTGTTGTTGATAAAATGAATGCATAAACGGACTAGAAAGAGGAACTAAGATAAGACCGATACATACATAATCTGTCTTGTTATTTCACTTGTTTCCTAAGTTAGAAGTTCAGTATAAAAGTTGTAAAGAAAAAAAAAGAAGGTCAATTAGGCGGAGAGAGTTGGATAAATGGTAGCAGTAGTAATATATTATTGATCACAATTTATTTTCGATACAAAAAAGGAAGAATTGAAATTATTGTGGAAAATTTTTAATGATTTTCGCTGTTGATATATATATATATATATATATATATATATATATATATATATGTAAAGAAATATTAGGAAAAAAAGCCCTAGTCAAGTACAGTTGTTTGATTTTATGTAATTTGACAATGTGAACAGAAATAATAAAAAAACAACAACAATTAAGTAAATTGAAGATATGCTGATAGTAGTACTGGTATACATTGAGCTATAGTTTTGCTGCTGATAATAACTAATAAAGTAAACTGATTTTTAATTTTTTTTCTCTAAAAAACAAATAGTTTTGAAATTTGTACACAGCTGATTAAAATTTGAGGAGAGGGTAATAGTAGTTCAGAGAAACAACAATAACAAATAACAACAGGAATGGAAATTTCTATCTTTTCTTTTTTTTCTCACAGTAAGTTTAAAAAGATTTTTTCCCCTTGGATTTCCCAATCACAGATTGGTTTAATGATCAAAATTTATATTAGGATTATAAAAGCTGAAAAATAATAGGATGGGAGGATATTTGAATAAAATGATGATACAACGTTAAAATTTGAATATGCCTCGTCAAAGTTTCTGAAAGGAAATGTTAAAAAGCGAATTAGAATGAAACAATTAATACCAAGCAAAATGAATTAGTCAGACACGAAAAAATGTAATTTATCTGTCCAAATGGATAGATTAGTTTTATTTGGATTTAACAGGGGAAAAAATGCACATCACTTATTTCATAGACAGATTCAAGTGTAATCAACTTTTGCTTTATAGTGTAGGGTATATGAACTAGAAGAATCTGTCATTAAAATAGTCTTCGAGATACATCATCTTAAGTATAAAACTGTACTTTTTCCAATATCTCTTGGGTCTTAGAAACACTAATGTCAAATGCTAGATGACAATTTACACCTAGCTGTCTGATTATCATTGAATGACAAATTAAGACAATTTATTATATCAAGACTACAAACTGATTTACATCATCCACTAACTAACTGGAAAGTAATTTATAGATTTTAAACTTGTGAACATTTGTATTTGTTTGTTATTGGGACTTGCTGCTTTAGATTTGTCACAAGCGCTGACCACTTAGAACTGGATGCTTGGTAACATTATCTTATTTAAACAATGGTATGATAGATCTAATTAGTTTTCAAGAATTCAATAGCTCATATAAAGTTGGTGAGATGTATTTTACAAAAAAAGACGAGATAATATTTCCGTCAAACACGAAAGAACAGGTCGGATAAATACGATAGCAGACATTATTTAATGGATGGACAGCAATATTGAGAAAAACAACAACAACATGAAAATGTCAAAGTATCTTATTGTCAATAAACCAAATAATTGGTATCAAACAACATCATAAGAAACTTTACCCGAATAAACTACTTTACATAACCGATAACATCTGAAAGAGTTGTATTGTAATGGTAAGTTGTAACAGGCAAAGAAAAAACTTACGCATTAAATTTAATTTTGGAACCAGGGAGTTCCAAAACGTATGCACATGACGAACGAATTTTTTATGGATTTGCAAGAGACCTAGTTTAGATTTTAAGCGCTTTACTAAATAGTAGAAAGGATTGAGAAACGACGGTTGTATGATGTATTGAGTTTTTAAACTAGCAAAACCTTCAAACAGAAGTGTTTTTGTGATCTACACATTCATATAATTAACTGTTTTGCTTGGAATTACGAGAACCCCGAGAAGCTAGAGATTTTATTCAAACGATCTAGTGAGACCGTAGTCATTGAGCAAAATATATGGTTTGAAAATTAGCATATTTAGTTACATCCCTGAACAGTATTTCAATTAAGAATCTCGGGATATTGTAGCATTAATTGATCGATTTGCTCTTAAATTGTATACTTTTTAACCTACTGAATAATTAGCAACAATATGGTGTGGCGCATATACATTTGGTGCCCTCTTGTACCACTATTTATGTGTTGAAATAAATAAATAAAATAAAAGCAACAAATGAGATGTATTAAAATTGTTCGTAAAACATCCTTCTTCACCACAAAGTACCCACTTTATAACTAAACAATACATTATTTGACTAGGTATGGAGGGATATTATAAGCCATTAGAGTTGTGGGACTTAGTTTCTATATAGTGATCAGACTCTTGAAATTTATGAAGTTCTGTGTAAAGGAATCATTTCCAGCATATGGTGGGCAAACGAAAAACAATGAAGCGAAGCTTTTAAGGAGAATGGATTCTTTAAATAAGTTAGTCTACAACCAGAAAGGTTAGTTCAGTTAATTTCCGTAGAAGAAAAAATTATGAATGGACTTACTATAAACCCAAATCCATGTTCGAAAAAATATCATTTAAAAGAACCCGCTCCTCATCTACCTCTGTGATAGTTGAAAGAGCTGGAGGAGAAGATGTAGAAATGCTGCGTTGTGTGCGCCTTGATAACGTCCACACAAGTGGTGGGGAGCTGCCTAATAGACGGGATGAAGGGTAATCCTGAACTGTGTAGGATCCCGATGTTTTGGTAAGTGCTTCCTTCAATGTGGAAGAACATGCAACAACATCAGTCCAAGAAATCTGCAAAATTAAATGAGGAACGATTCGTGAGTAGGTTTTCCAAATTAAATCAGCCAGTCATAATCAACGTGGAGTCCGAGAAAAATGTTCGTTAGTCTAACTCGCCACATAGACCAAATAGAAAAAATCAATGAAGTACTTTCTAAAGGTAGAAAATTAAATTATCATATCAGATGCTTGACCATAATCTGAAGGATCATTAATATTTACCGAGTTGGAGAGATAACTTGAAGTCGTTCGACTCCTAACCGCTATATCGTTGGTCTGAACGCCACTACATATACTGTTACACCTAAAGTGTGGTTCAATTACGAGTACAAGAATCCAAAGTAGGTATATAAGTCATATTATTTTAAAAATCCACAAAATAAGGTGATTTAGAGTCAGATATATGAACTTGTATTTGGTGAAACTAACAGTTCACTCTATACTGTTTTTAGGCGGTAAAAAATACTATCCGAAGATATATATGGATTACTAGAAATAATAATACGGACCCTCGAGACAGTGCTCATATTTAATGAGACCATTAGTATCTCGCCCCGACCGTTGTTGCTACCTTGACGTGGTGGTCGGGCTTGCCTATCGTGATGAAGCAACCGAGCTATACTGGCTGGAACAACCGTTCCTCAAGGTCCTACCATGTCAGACAGGTCGGTTGAAGAGCGGTAAGACTAAAAGCAACAAACCTAAGGTCCGAAGGCGAAGTCGTACTGCTGACTGTACAGAGGTGTGACAGCAGTAAGGTGTTTCCTTCAGACAACCAGCATGACAGCGATGCTGCCTTCCCACAAGGAGGGGTGGGGTTAGAAAAGGTCGACCCTAAAAATGCACACCTCGCCTTATCCCACGGATATCCGTCTCCGGCGGTAAGGTCCCAATAAGTACGGAGCTAACACAAAAATTACCCATAACAAGGTCGTGTGTGACCGACCTCAAGCAGTTGTCCCTTGGGCACTGCGGTCACGCTCTCAGGTCACTAAGACCACCTTTAATCCAAATTCCTTTTCAGGTACCTCCAGAACAACCCTTCCACGGTGTGGGCAACCGGGAAGTGAAAACCGCCCTCATACCTCTAACAGCACTCAAGACCACTGTATTCATAATCAACCTTCCTCTTCAATTCCTATTATTCCTCCTACATCGACTTTCAACTTTAAATTTCCTCTCTCGGCTTCCACCTCAAGTGTCACCATAGCCAACGATTCTAGTGCGCAAAATACTGTCCCAGGTCTACTGAAACCTCGCTCCAAACTACACATTGGAGCCTTCAACGTACGAACCCTATGTCAAATTGGTCAGCAGGCTTCCTTGGCTAAAACCCTAGAGTCTCTTACCATTGACGTGTGCTGTGTCTCCGAAACACGCATACAGGATTCCAGTGTGGTCATTCACCTGACCTCACCTCGGCAAAACGGAGAGCCAACGAGGTACACCCTTCGTGTATCTGGTGACCCGATGGCAAGTTCTCGTGGACTGGCAGGTGTAGGCATAGCACTAAGCATGAGGGCCGAACAAGCACTGCTAGAGTGGATCCCCGTCAACAGTCGTCTATGTGCTGTTCGGCTGAACGGCTACGTAAGAACTAGGAAGGATAGGGACACACGTCGTTGCCTTTTTATCGTTTCTGCCTACGCTCCCACTGACTGCAGCTCAGATGATGTGAAAGATGAATTTTACAGAAAGCTGTCCGAACTTCTTCAGAAAGCTAAACGCTCAGACATAGTACTCGTAGCAGGTGATTTTAATGCTCAGATAGGCAGTTTAAACCAAACAGAAATGCATTTAGGTGGATATTTTAGTATTCCGACACAGCGAACAGACAATGGTGAGCGTCTGCTGCAGCTATGTTCAGACAATCGTTTATTTTTAGCAAACACAAATTTTAAGCATAAGGAGAGACATCGTCTAACATGGCGACCCCCTACACCAAACCAACGATGGACTCAAATAGACCATATTGCCATCAGTCATCGTTGGAGAGGGTCGGTTCAAGATTGTCGCTCATTCTGGAGTACCTGCTTGGACTCCGACCATGCCCTAATACGGGCACGCATCTGCTTGCGCCTCACTGGACGCAAAAAAGCCACATTAAAAAGACCCGTTAGAACTGATTTGAGTAACGAGAAAACCAAAAGTAGGTTCCAGGAACAACTGAGGTCACACTTAGGTAGTTGTGAAGACGAGGCTGACCCAGATGTTGCTTGGAAGGGCATACAATCAGCTGTGGAAACAGCAGTGACATATATTAGTGACTTAAACCACAGAGTTGCAAGGAACCAGTGGATTTCTTCAAGGTCTGTCACACTGATGGATTCTCGCAAACTCGTCCCATCAGGTTCTGAACATGATGAAGAGCGAAAACAAATCAGATCTAAGTTAAGAAAAAGTCTAAAGAACGACCGTGAGCAATGGTGGGTAACGAAAGCAAAAGAGATGGAAAAGGCGGCGACTATAGGGAACACAAGACAGCTTTACAGACTAATAAAAGAAACTGGAATTAGTAAGTCAAGTGTAAGTGAGATTATTTCGGAAAAAGATGATACTCTCATCTGCTCCCAGTCCAGACGGTTAGAACGATGAGCGGAACATTTTAGAGAACAGTTCAGCTGGCCTTCAGCTACTCTACAACTACCCTCCATTCCCAGACAGTGTGAATGGAACATTGAAATAGGTCCCCCTACTCTTGCTGAAGTTCAAAAGGCTATAGTTAATCTGAAACGAGGAAGGGCAGCTGGTCCAGATGGATTGGCTCCAGAGGTCTTTAAGGATGGTGGTCCAATTTTAGCGATTAAGTTGACTAATATTTTAGCTAAGATCTGGGAATTAGACTTTATCCCATCTGACTGGTCGCAATCACTTATCGTCCCAATATATAAGAAAGGGTCAAAATCATCCTGTGACAACCACAGAGGGATTAGTTTAACAAACATAGTTTCTAAAATACTGGCCTCGATAATTATCAAACGCCTAACTAAGACTCGTGAACTACAAACTCGAGAGAACCAAGCTGGCTTTAGACCTGGTCGTGGCTGCATCGACCACATATTCACCATTCGTCAGGTTCTAGAACACAGGCATACCTATCGGCGTCCGACGATGGTGGTCTTTCTTGACTTAAAAGCAGCATTTGACTCGGTAGACCGCGAGACTCTGTGGCAGTGTCTGTCATTGAAAGGCGTACCTCAGAAGTACATAAACCTTGTGAAGGCTCTTTACTCGAACACTACTAGTCGAGTCAGGGCTTATGGCGAACTGTCATCTACTTTTGCAACTTCAAGTGGTGTCCGTCAAGGCTGTCCACTCTCTCCATTTTTGTTTAACTTCATCATAGACCTATTGATGGAAATAACACTCTCGTCGACTGAATTCTCGGGTATTGATCTCCTTCCAGGAGGTCCACTTATCGACTTAGAATACGCAGATGACATAGTCCTATTTGGTGAAGACGCTGACAAAATGCAGAGTCTTCTGGTAGCACTAAGCAACAATGCCAGAATGTTTGGGATGCGCTTCTCTCCCTCTAAATGCAAGTTGTTGCTTCAGGACTGGTCTGCGTCAACACCTGAACTAAGGATAGGGAGTGAAGTAGTCGAACGCGTTGATAACTTCACTTATCTTGGAAGTCTGATCAGCCATAATGGGTTGGTATCGGACGAAATCTCAGCACGGATTCGAAAAGCTCGTTTGGCTTTTGCCAACTTGCGTCACCTTTGGCGAAGGCGAGATATCCGTCTATCAATAAAAGGACGAGTATACTGCGCGGCAGTTCGTTCTGTTTTAATTTACGGCAGCGAAACATGGCCCTTAAGAGTAGAAGACACCCGTAAGCTACTAGTATTTGACCACAGATGCCTTAGAAATATTGCTGGCATCTGCTGGGATCACCGGGTAAGTAATAGTGAGGTTAGACGCAGGGTATTAGGGAATGATGGTAAATCAGTTGATGAGGTTATGAATCTTCATCGACTGAGATGGTTGGGCCACGTATTACGTATGCCTGAACACCGATTACCACGACGTGCAATGCTAACCGGTGTAGGGGATGGTTGGAAGAAAGTTAGGGGCGGCCAAACCAAAACGTGGCATCAGTGCCTGAAGTCACTAACTTCTAGTCTGAGCCATGTTGGTAGATGCAGACTACTTGGTTGGGGTCCGCGTGACTATCGTAATCAATGGTTGGAGACTCTTGGTGACATGGCTCAGAATCGATCACAATGGCGTCGGTGTATACACTCCCTGTCTTCCCTTAAACTAAGAGAATAAAATCGCTTCATATCTTTCTTTCTACGAACCAATTCTTTCTATCTCTATATGCAATCTTGCTCTTACATATTACTACCTTTTACCTAACCACTGCTATGAATCCGGTGTTCATCTTGCTGTGCTAATGAGGTATGGCAACCTGGACCGATGCACATATGTGCCTGGTCCTACGTTGTAGCTGACTGACTGACTGACTTAGTATCTCGCTACTGAGGCTAAAAATAACAAATTATAAGAAACTATTACGGAGATAGTTGAGAAGCGGATCTCGCTAAATATTTCCTCGAAATTGGATATGGATTTATGGTAAATCTATTCATAATTTATGTTGTGTTTACAGGAAACAACTGAACTGAGTACTCATTCTAACAAACTGCTTGGTGAAGTGAATCTTCGATTTACTCTAAAAGCATTTAAAGACAGCTTATCCTGGTGCATTACACCACCCATCAAAAGAGAAGGTTGAATATAATGCTGATTGCTGTCAAAGATATACCATATGTCCATGACCGTTAGTCCAAACAGTACAAAGACTTATTCGAAATTATCAAATCAAATCTTGGTAATGATACCTAGTATAAAGACTTGTTGTTTGAGGTCTGTAAACAGTAAAAGACTAGAAGTTAAATAACTTAGAATTAGTGCCAGTTGTCTTAATAAGATCATCTTTGGTTTTCTTCTATATATTTACCTTATTGTTACTGTGATTTCGCTAGCCTCTTTCCCACTTTCCTCTGCTGATGTTAGACGTAAGGTGAAGATGGAAAATCAGTTGAAATGATAAACATACATTGACTGAGGTATCTAACCACCGCATACCTAGACGCACAATATTTGCTGGTGTAGGAGTAAGTTGGAAAAAAACCAAGGTTGATAATTATGTACAAAGTGTTTTAAAGGAAAAAGTAGTTGTTTAACTTCCGGAATGGAAATAACACATATGAATGGGTTAAATCATAACTATTATCAACAACCTACAAATGAGTTTTTCGATCATTAAGTTACCAACCCGAGTATTCCCGCTAAGCTTCATACTATTTCTTCAAAGCGTTTGTGAAAATTCTGATAAGATTGGAATACAACATAAGTTACAGTACCTAAAATGCGAAGCGACTCAACCCGGGAATAAGAGCTACTAAATACCACAAGTATGTCTCTTTAGCAAAAAGCTACTGTAAAACACCAGTTGGTTCTAGATTTGCGAACACACTGATAATAAGCTGTTTTGAATCTGCTTTCAGGGTGTATTTAAGAAAGTATTTACTAAACTTCTGAACAGTAAAATCACAATCATTCGCAATATGATTTAATGATAACTAAATATAAAAAATACCAGCAATTCAACCTTAGTAAAAGACAGATTTCGCAAATAACTATTTCTAATTTTAACAGCTATCCCATAATCGACTGTAATTGTGTTTGATAAGGTCATTTGACCAGCAGACCTCAAAATAAATGTGGGATTGCCGATGAGCGCACTTAGTTTTTTTAATGGCAGCATATTTCAGTAGATTACGATAAGTTATGTTATTACCAACCATTAGAACTCATTTAATGTGCTGTTTCCAAAATCCAAAAACTTCAGTATAAGTATGGTGTAAAACTTGTAGGGTTACTTAATGTGAGTCAAAAACAAACGAGAAGTTGTAGACTGTTAGGATCAGTCAGGAAATATATATCCGTAGTCAGAGAGATCACTAAACATATATAAGTAATATTTCCACCAAAATCAAGAATTATTATGGATGTGCTTATTGCCCATTAAAAAATACATTGGTCAAACAAGATGTCATTTCTAAGTGATGAGAAGGAAATTTATGAAGTGAAATTTGTTTAACAAATATAAATTAGGCGTTAAAGTTACTTACGTTACATATAAGTGACAAATTATAGAGGTCAGACGTATGGAACTGCAACCAATCGTCAGCTGAACCCCGTGACCCCACAGCTGAATTAAAACAAAGATGATTGAGCAAGGCCAGTGCTAGGCACGAAGGACGAAAGCACGATACCTCTGAGGAGACTAGAGCTATTTCGATCTGACGACAAATAGAAATAGGGACAGGCAACCAAGAGTTTTGATTTCTAGATTCATTCTGATAAGACGCAAACGGGATGCCGAACGAGGAGAAAATGGACAGAAAATCAATGGCTGTAGCCGAGCATGCACCGATAGCAGCAACGCTGGAAGGCCCCAACTTTGTAAGGATAATTTCCACCATTCGCGTCAGATCAGCAGCTGTGCCGCCACATCGTGATAGCGTTACAAGGCTTTCAGGTGTGGGTGAAACGTGTTCCTACAAGATAGTACAATACTGGTACAATCAGGTTAAGGCAGTAAAGAAAAAACCAGCAAACTTTTGTAATTTATGCAATAAACTACAGTCAGATGAAACTGCAGCTAGGATAAGTCAAGTGGATGCAAAAATGAAGCTCAAAATAAATATTCTAATATATGTGATATCATAACTTCGGGAACTAAATGAAAAATTAACATGTAAGCGAGCAACAAAATGAAACGTAAGGATCGTCGCCACACTTAACATTGATCACCTTTCATCGTTAGCATAGTAAATCAATCAATAAATAAGTAAGACCAAGTTATTTAGATCTTTGACCTTTAACTGCTTAATACTGGTAAAAACTTAAGGCAGTAACAACAAAAAATAATTCCAAGGTTTACTTTTCAAGTTTTACAGATGTAGTTGGCAGCATATGACAAAAGTATGAGACCTACCATAGGTCAATTATGGGTAAGTATAACGCCAGCATGCAAAAGCAAAACAGATAGCAATAATCGCACGTCTAACTCGGCTAGAATTTATTAACAAAAAACAATAATCTTAGATCCCTTTGTATATTTTACTGAGCTATCATGAAGAGATCGCACCAGGTCCACTTGATGGAAATGGAAGGTTAGTTGCGCGGATTATGAGATGAAACCGAACCGAAAAAGTAAATATTTTACAAACAGTTAACTCGATTGTGGTATATGGTTTTCAGGAAAACAAGCTTTGAGTAAAATACTTAAAAATAACGAGTTTAATAACTCAAGTAATAATTAAATTCGTAATAAAAGCTCCCTCGTATACTGTAACATCAGGCATTTAAAAGCTTGTATACATATTCGTTGAATTCTTAAAAATATACTTACGGATGATCTCTCGAACTTGGAAGTGATGTAGTAGCATGCAGCGGCCACGCACATTGCGTACTTTGGTTTAACCTATATAGTCATTATATACAAATAAATTCCAAGCTTACTTTGACTCTAGCAACCAGTAAATCCATTAAACACACTGCCTTGCAGAATATGATGGAGGAAAGCGAATAATAGGCGCTATGTAAGGACCACAATTTGAACAAAGTTTCTGCTCTCAATGCTGCGTCAACTTTATCATCCAAATCCTGAAGATATTATCGTACAAAAATGACGGCTTACTGAGTTCACAGCTAGCAAATGCTCATTACCAATGTAAAGTAATTTTTCTTGAGACAAAGAGGAGAATAATTTTTCCTGAATAGCGTAGTAAAACTAAGAATTGTACAGGAGGCTGTATGAACCTACTGCTTGGCAGCGAATGCTTGAAAAGTGAGTTGATGTGCAAAGACTAGAGGTTTGTGGTGAAAGACTTCGGCCAGGAATAAGGTCATTTTCGAAAGTTCTATAATGACTAGAAGAAGTGATTTCTTGATGTGACTCCGAATTTGTCTCGGAAACTTCCAGACGTTTTTTCAGACGGCGACCTTTTCTGGGGGACTTTAAAGATGGAAGCACTGCCTTAGGTACATTATTGGTTGGCGCTCCAAAGATCCTCACAGTGTTTCTTGAGCTTGTTACCATCATTGTGCCGAGCAGACCAAAGACGGTTGTGAACCGGGTTTAATAACAAAGGTATGAAAGGATCCGAGATCTGATTGGCCAACCGGAAGTGACCTTGGCGCACAGAGCAGCTGATGCAGCGGACATTTTACCTTTGGAAATAGATATTACAAACAAGAACAATATACAAAAAACTTATCATGTAATTTCATGGACCACAGCATTCAGTCCGATGCAAAATCATTTCGAAAACACCTTGTTCATATCTATAATCCATGGTGGGGTTGGTGAGCTACTCTATTTTCTAAGTGAGCTCCGATGCTTTGAGGTACGGTAAGTAACCTTTGATACGTGGGTGATCATAAGGATCAGAGTAATGTGTACCTCTTACCTCTTATTTGGCAAACAGGATTAGTAAAGTGCATGTTTATTAAGACCGAATTTAGGCAGTAGAAGTGAAATGTTCATTACGAACAAGTACGATTCTTGTTTTATCCCTACTTGAAACCAGATGGTTAAACAACTTAGTTGTGAATGAAAGCGATCGAGGAGTGACATTTCAGTAGCCCTCCCCAGTACCCACAGATTCAAAATTATCTTTGGGTCTTTTTTGGAAGATCCAACTAAGGGTACTATCACTTTGGCTTCCTGTTAAGAGTTTAATAATCTACTGATTCGTACCTCGAAAGAGTTTGAATGTGGTTCTGTGAGGGCCATTCTGTGGCCAATTCCTTTTTGTGTGTACCTTATTACTGAGGCCTATCATTGGTTGATTCGGATGGAGAGAATTACATGCAGTATGATACATCATGATTATATCCCACCTAATCCGCTTGTACTGAACTGGATATGAACTAAAGACCTACGAGAGACCTATGCCCATGTGGCACTTTTTGCATTGTCTTAGTGCCAAACGTAATCAAGAAGATAATTGCCTGATTCGTGATAACCACACAGGGACTGGCCTAAGAAGAGAGGATAAGTCCCCTCACCGGTGGTTATATAGTGCAGAAGGCGGAGTGCTGAAAACTATCGTTTTATCTAGTGCGAAAGTAATGAAGGCGACTGACACCTAGAACTGCACTGATTGGACTTGTATTTTGTAATCTGACCGTGGCGACAGACTGTTCTATATCGCTAAAAGTTTATGTTGCATATCACCAGGCTGTTGACAATAAAGTCGCATTTAAGTAAACTCAAGGCCACGGTGAGGTTCACTGTACAAAGAGGAAGAATAGGAAATCTTATCTGACTCCGTTCCTCACTTGGAATATCTCCGTCAGCTGTCGTCCACACACGATATTTCACTATAGTCCGTCTTATGGATTCGGAATGATACTGACGATCATCTCAGAAACTTCATAGTACCGAAGAATTTTTCATAAGGTCCCCTTATCCACACTGTCAAACAACTAATAGTCAAGGAAGTTGATGTATAGTGACGAGTTCCACTCGACTGATTGTTCAACGATGATCAGTAGTGTCACGATATGGTCTGTGCACGACCGATCCTTAAGAAATCTGACCTGTCGATCTCGAAGTTCAGCGTCTACTGAGTATTTCATCCGGTTCAGTAACACTCTGTCGAAAACCTATCCTCATACTGACAGTAGTGTGATTCCTCTTTAGTGCTCACATTTTCCCAAATATACTCTCTTTAGTATCTTAATGAGGTATCGTTCTTTCCAGTCTGTCGGTGGCACTTCTTCGGGATCTTGGTGAACAGGACGTGAAGCAAACTTGCAGTTACTTCTTTATCTGACTTGAGTGCTTCATCTGGTATATTTCCAGGTCCTGTTGATTTCCCACTCGTATTTGTCTGAAGGCCATCCTGATTTCTTCGACTGTTGGTGGAGTGGTATCTATATGAAGGTCTGTGTGTGCTGATTCGATATCCGGTGGATTTGTAGTGGCATTGGACAACAGCCACACAATCCACAAAGCTGTGAACACGAGACTACTCAGAAAATAGATATTTAATATTTAACGCGGAGAAATACCCAACGATGGGGAAGGCGCGAATAATGAATTGAATGGACTAGAGTTGATCGAACGGCATGACTCGGCCATGCAGGCGTGGTCCCTGTTATCTTATATCTTTTATTCGTATTAAATATATTGTTCCTTCTCTAGCCTAACCTTGTTCTACATCATGTATTGGTAATTGATACGATACAGTGAGTTGGTGTAGTCGATGGTGTGACTTCCACGTAAGATCTTATAGATCAGGCAGTTATATCATGACAAATCTAAAAATCTAGGATTAGGTCTATTATTAGAGCAGTACTAATATCATAGTAGACCATAATTCTACATTGGTGAGCCCAACTAAAGAAACGCAACCTATTATTGTTAATCCTTTTTTCCAACTTAACCTTCTCAATCGGATTTTATTTTTGTAAACCCACTATTCTAATAGTCCTTTGATTAATGGTCACATATATTAGTTCACATAACTTACTAGCTCAATCGATAATAAAAGTTGATCATCTATATCAACTAATTAGCTTTGGTGGTTCGTTAACAAGCTTTAATAGCATTTACATGCTTCAGCAACATAGACTTGTTTAAACATCAAGCTCTAGCAAATATGACCTGTAAATAACGTAAGTATACATTGACTAACAATGTAATCAAGGACTAAATAGTTATCTGGATCTAATTATCAGTGTTCCTTCACCTAACACCTCATCCTGTTTTAAACTATGCACTATCCTGTAATATCTTTTCTTCTGACCACTGCCTGCCTAATTTCATATTTTCGAGTTCCATTGCCAAACAACAAGGATGACACTTCTCCAAAAACATACGGTGAGTTTTATCTATAGGTTTTCTGCAATCATAAGGTCATTTTAGATGGCTCGTTCAATAACAACCACACAATTAACTGAATTCATTCGATTGTTCTAATCCGAGCGAGTGGCAGAAACGTCAACACCATCAAGCACCCTGGAATTAATTGCCATACTGCATGTTTTATTCTGGATACTTTTGCATCATTACTACTCCTTACGAATGGCGTTATATATGTCGTCCACTGAATAATCTAATTTTTAGAAATAATCCAGGCGAGTTCCACTATCTTACTTAATGATTTTTTGTACTGAACATATATATGTTTTCCAGTTGCTTTTGCCATATATTTGTAAGTGTCCCTAGGTTGAATGCAGTAACTTCTTATGGAATGTTTATAACGCACCATATTCCTGCCTGAAGTTTCATAAGCAGCCTGGTCGTGTTCATTATTTTTTAATTGTCATATACGTCAACAACCTGCTTGTCAACCTGGCCCGCACATACGTTACACTATATCTTCATGTCTTCTAAATTTAGGAATCATCTGAATCGCCTTTAACATCTATCAATAAACCCATCATATTCGTTGTCGCTAATCGTATTTGGGTTTATGGATTGATTTATCATATTAGCAGCCTAAAATGCGAACATAGTTGAGATAATAAGATTAAAAAGTTAGGTACTATTAACTGCACTAGTAAAATAACTAAATCCTCAGGTAGCTGTTGACTAAACAAACGTTTAAAATCAAAACTCCGTAGCCTACTAAAATTACCACTAAACGAATATTTCTGAATTGAAAATTATAATATAATTAGGCGTCTCGGATTCTGTAACACTACAAATTTCTGATAATTTTGAATCACCTAAAGCAACAATACCTATTTTTCCACTGGCTAATCCTCAATCAACACTATAACTAGTTTAACATAATAGTTTCAGGATATCGTCATAAAGCATTGTCATGACTTGACAATCACGTAATATGATTGATGATACTAATGAAACTATTAACATAACCGGTCATCAAATCGACTTATAATTATCACTAGTGTTGTTTTTCTTTTATCTTCACTCACTACAGATGATTACAGTATGTTTATCTATCAGTTGCTCATTCAGTAAATATCTCAAAACCTTGTCAGTCTAATTGATGGTTTAGCGACACAATCATGCATGCAAATAATCAATATAAGCAGTCGAGCAAATCTCCTGCAAACTGAAAACATCAATGTCGAATTTACCCCAACACTAACTAAGGTTCAAGTCATTATCATAGACACGAGTTGGGAGTGTACTCCCCCTGGTTACAACTTATGTTCTCTCTGATAATTACATGAGCATCACTCACTATTAATCATCTTGTAAAAACTTATTTAGCATAATACATCTTGCAGCACCACATCACTTCGTAATATGACACAGGCCTAACTGATTTTAATAACTTATAACCACTATATCTCAATTAAATCGTATTCCGCCTTATGATAAACTGCATACTTGCAACTAACTTGTATGCCCAATCAGCCAGCAAATATAAATATAAATAAATAGTCTATTGCAGATCAGAACATTGAGTCCAGAGCATGTCTCTTACGAATACACTCATGTTTAACGATTTGTTCCTAGCTATCTGTCCAAAATTCATATAATTATCACTAACGTATTTAAATCTTGTTTTGATCACCATTCATGTGTATTAGTAGTATTACTAAATTCTATCACGGTCAAGTAAAAATGAGGTTGAGAAAATCTCCCTGTAACTAAATAAACCGTATCAAACTAACTGGAACACTAGTTGGAATTCTTTACCATGGTAATACTTTTGTTCCTTCAGTTAGCCTACTGATACAGATGCAATTGGAAATCAATTCATATGGACAACATACCGGCATAGTTGTAAATTGATTTCATAATTTAAATCAAAACTAATACCAATATTAATAATTCTACAACATTTATTACTTTAATATTTCTAAACACAAAATACTTACTACCTATACGTTAAGGTATTAACCAACGGCTATTAACACGCATCGTTTTATTATTATGATTGTAATCCCATGTTTTATAGCTCAAATAATCTTCACCCGAATTTTCATTTCAAGCGTGTTAAGCATGAAGGCAGATATTTTGAAATTATTACATGAGTTTCCCGACCAGATGCTGCCGCCTTCTTTTTGATTTATCTTTCAGCTTATCAATATCCAAAGGATTCTACCTATCCT